ACAGAAATACCTACACGCATATCTTGTTGCAGAAATACCTACACATGTCTGTTGACAGAAATACCTACACATGTCTTTTGACAGAAATACCTATACATGTGTGGTGACAGAAATACCTACACATGTCTGGTGACAGAAATACCTACACATGTCTGTTAACAGAAATACCTACACATGTCTGGTGACAGAAATACCTACACATGTCTGGTGACAGAAATACCTCCACACACACGTCTTGTGACAAAATTACCTACACTCACTTCTGGTTACAGAATTACCTACACATGTCTGGTGACAGAAATACCCACACACGTGTCTGTTGACAGAAATACCTACACATGTCTGTTGACAGAAATACCTACACATGTCTGGTGACAGAAATGCCTACACATATCTGGTGACAGAAATACCTACACATGTCTGGTGACAAAAATACCTACACGTATATTGTGACAGAAATACCCACACACGTGTCTGTTGACAGAAATACCTACACATGTCTGGTGACAAAAATACCCACACACATGGCTGTTGACAGAAATACCTACACATGTCTGGTGACAGAAATACCTACACACATGTCTTGTAGCAGAAATACCTCCACACACACGTCTTGTGACAGAATTACCTACACTCACTTCTGGTTACAGAATTATCTACACACACTTCTGGTTACAGAATTACATACACACACTTCTGGTGACAGAATTACCTACACACACTTTTGGTGACCGAATTACCTGCACACACACGTCTTATGACAGAAATAACTACATATACATGTGTGGTGACTAAAATTCCTACATACACATAGCTGGTGACAGAAATACACACACATGTCGGATGACAGAAATACACACAAAAGTTTGGTGACAAAAATACGCACATATAGCTGGTGACAGAAATATACACACACACATGGTTGGTGACAAAAATTCACACATGTATCTGGTGACAGAAATACACACACATGGCTGGTGACAGAAATACACACACGTAGCTGGTGACAGAAATACACACATATGGCTGGTAACAGAAATACCTACACATGTATCGTGACATAAATACCTACACACATGTCTGTTGACAGAAATACCTACATATGTCTGTTGACAAAAATACCTACACATGTCTGGTGACAGAAATACCTACACATATCTGGTGACAGAAATACCTACACATGTCTGGTGACAGAAATACCTACACACATGTCTGGTAGCAGAAATACCTCCACACACACGTCTTGTGACAGAATTACCTACACTCACTTCTGGTTACAGAATTACCTACACACACTTCTGGTTACAGAATTACATACACACACTTCTGGTGACAGAATTACCTACACACACTTCTGGTGACTGAATTACCTGCACACACAAGTCTGATAACAGAAATAACTACATTTACATGTGGGGTGACTAAAATTCCTACACACACATAGGTGGTGACAGAAATACACACACATGTCTGATGACAGAAATACACACGCAAGTCTCATGACAGAATTACACACGCAAGTCTAGTTATAGAAATACTCACACACATGTCTGTTAACAGAAATACCTACACATGTCTGTTGACAGAAATACCTACACGTGTCTGGTGACAGAAATACCTACACATATCTGGTGACAGAAATACCTACACATGTCTGGTGACAAAAATACCTACACGTATCATTGGACAAAAATACCCACACACGTGTCTGTTGACAGAAATACCTACACATGTCTGGTGACAGAAATACCCACACACATGTCTGTTGACAGAAATACCTACACATGTCTGGTGACATAAATACCTCCACACACACATCTTGTGACAGAATTACCTACACTCACTTCTGGTTACAGAATTACATACACACACTTCTGATGACAGAATTACCTACACACACTTCTGGTGACCGAATTACCTGCACACACAAGTCTGATGACAGAAATAACTACATATAAATGTGTGGTGACTAAAATTCCTACATAAACATAGCTGGTGACAGAAATACACACACATGTATGATGACAGAAATACACACGCAAGTCTCATGACAGAAATACACACACGTCTGGTGACAAAAATACGCACATACAGCTGGTGACAGAAATACACACACACATGGCTGGTGACAGAAATTCACACATTTAGCTGGTGACAGAAATACACACACATAGCTGGTGACAGAAATACACACATATGGCTGGTGACAGAAATACACACACATGGCTGGTGACAGAAATACTCACACACATGGCTAGTGACTGAAAAACACACACACATGGCTAGTGACAGAAAAACAAACACACACATGGCTGGTGACAGAAATACACAAACACATAGCTAGTGACAGAAATACATAGACATGGCTAGTGACAGAAAAACACACACACATGGCTGGTGACATAAATACACACACATGGCTAGTGACAGAAAAACACACATGGCTAGTGACAGAAATACACACATATGGCTGGTGACAGAAATACACACACATGGCATGTGACAGAAATACACACATATCTGGTGACAAAAATACACACACACATGGCTAGTGACAGAAAAACACACACACATGGCTAGTGACAGAAATACACACACACACACACATGGCTGGTGACAGAAATACACATACACATGGCTAGTGACAGAAATCAACACACAAGTCTATATACAGAATACACACACACATGGCTAGTAACAGAAATAGACACAAAAGTCTGGTTAAAGAAATACACACACACATGGCTAGTGACAGAAAAACACACACACATGGCTAGTGACAGAAATACACACACACACACATATGGCTGGTGACAGAAATACACATACACATGGCTAGTGACAGAAATCAACACACAAGTCTATATACAGAAATACACACACACATGGCTAGTAACAGAAATAGACACAAAAGTCTGGTTAAAGAAATACACACACACATGGCTAGTGACAGAAATAGACACACAAGTCTGGTGAAAGAAATACACACATATGGCTGGTGACAGAAATACACACATATGGCTGGTGACAGAAATACACGCATATGGCTGGTGACAGAAATACACACACATGTTTGGTGACATAAATACACACACTTGGCTTGTGACAGAAATACACACACATGGCTGGTGACAGAAATAGACACACATGGCTAGTGACAGAAATACACAGACATGGCTAGTGACAGAAAAACACGCACATGGCTGGTGACAGAAATACACACACATGGCTGGTGACAGAAATACACACACAAATGGCTGGTGACAGAAATACAGACACATGGCTGGTGACAGAAATACACACACAAATGGCTGGTGACAGAAATACACACACAAATGGCTTGTGACAGAAATACACACACACATGGCTGGTGACAGAAATACACACACATGGCTGGTGACAGAAATACACGCACATGGCTGGTGACAGAAATACACACACAAATGGCTGGTGACAGAAGTACACACACACATGGCTGGTAACAGAAATACACACACATGGCTGGTGACATAAATACACACACATGGCTGGTGACAGAAATACACACATATGGCTGGTGACAGAAATACACGCATATGGCTGGTGACAGAAATACACATACATGGCTGGTGACATAAATACACACACATGGCTTGTGACAGAAATACACACACACACATGGCTGGTGACAGAAATACACACACATAGCGGGTGACATAAATACACACACATGGCTGGTGACTTAAACACACACACATGGCTGGTGACAGAAATACACACAGATGGCTAGTGACAGAAATAGACACACAAGTCTGGTGAAAGAAATATACACACACACATGGCTAGTGACAGAAATACACTCACATGGCTAGTGACAGAAATACACACATATGGCTGATGACAGAAATACACACACGTGGCTTGTAACAGAAATACACACACATGTCTTGTGACAGAAATACACACACATGACTTGTGACAGAAATACACACACATGACTGGTGACATAAATACACACACATGGCTGGTGACATAAATACACACACATGACTGGTGACAGAAATACACAAACATGACTGGTGACAAAAATACACACACATGGCTGGTGACAGAAATACACACACATGGCTTGTCACATAAATACACACTCATGGCTGGTGACAGAGATACACACACATGGCTGGTGACAGAAATACACAAACACAGCTGGTAACATAAATGCACGCATATGGCAGGTGACAGATATACACACACATAGCTGGTGACATAAATACACACATATGGCAGGTGACAGAAATACACACACATGGCTGGTGACATAAATACACACACATATCTGGTGACAGAAATACACACACATGGCTGGTGACGGAGATACACACACATGGCTGGTGACAGAAATACTCACATATGGCTGGTGACAGAAATACACGCATATAGCTGGTGACAGAAATACACACACATGGCTGGTGACATAAATACACAAACATGGCTGGTGACAGAAATACACACACATGGCTGGTGACAGAAATACACACACATGGCTGGTGACAGAAATACACACACATGTCTGGTGACAGAAATACACACACATGGCTGGTGATACACACACATGTCTGGTGACAGAAATACACACACATGTCTGGTGACAGAAATACACACACATGACTAGTGCCAGAAATAACTACACATGTCTGGTGACAGAAAAACCCACACACATGTCTGGTGACAGAAATACACAGACATGGCTGGTGACAGAAAGATACACACATGTCTGGTGACAGAAATACACACACATGTCTGATGACAGATATACACACATGTCTGGTAACAGAAATACACACGCATGGCTAGTGACAGAAATACACACAAGATAGACACACGTGTAGCGATCAGGTGTAGACGACAGGCACCGTCTACCTGCAGGAGGTTCTCCGGAGCGTCTTTGAGATAAAGACAAACAGGGCCAGCAGGTTTCCTACCACACCTGCCACACATATCACCGGGAGTGTGAGGAGGTAGACTCGCCTCAGGATCTGAGAGATAGAGAGTGTAAACATTGCATTAGATATATTTTAAGAGATTGAACAGTGCATTATATATATTGTAGAGTGTGAAAACTGCATTAGATAATTTTGTAGAGTGTAAACTTTGCATTAGATATATTGAAGAGTGTGAAAACTGCATTAGATAATTTTGTAGAGTGTAAACATTGCATTAGATATATTGAAGAATGTAAACATTGCATTAGATATATTGTAGAATGTAAACATTGCATTATATATATTGTAGAGTGTAAACATTGCATTAGATATATTGTAGAGTGTAAATATTGCATTTGATATATTGTAGAGTGTAAACATTGCATTAGATACATTGAAGAATGTAAATTTGCATTAGATATATTGTAGAGTGTAAACATTGCATTAGATATATTGAAGAATGTAAACATTGCATTAGATATATTGTAGAGTGTAAACATTGCATTAGATATATTGTAGAGTGTAAAAATCGCATTAGATATATTGTAGAGTGAAAACATTGCATTAGATATATTGTAGAATGTAAAAATCGCATTAGATATATTGTAGAGTGTAAACATTGCATCATATATATTGTAGAGTGTAAACATTGCATCATATATATTGTAGAGTGTAAACATTGCATAAGATATATTGTAGAGTGTGAAAACTGAATTAGATATAGTGTAGAGTGAGAAAACTGCATTATATATATTATAGAGTGTAAACATTGCATTAGATATATTGTAGAGTGTGAAAACTGAATTAGATACATCGTAGAGTAAAAAACATTGCACCTGATATATAGTAGCGTGAAAACATTGCTTCTCATATATTATCATCATCATCATCGGGTGCCTTATCGACTGGCGTGGGCGATCATGCTACTTCACAATCAACGATATCAATGTAAAATGGGATCCCTTATGTTGTAGACTATGCCTTGCAAGATACCAGTGAATGCCTGAGCCTTCTTCTTCCTAAAGTCGATGCCGTAGGGCGTTGGTTGTCACATATATCACACATCTTCTGTCTCGTGTACTTTCAATCAACCTCCATGTCATGATGTCAGACTGTCCAGCATCTTATCTCTCGGTCTTCCTCTGCTTCTTTTCCCCTCCAGCTTTTCTACTGTCTCTCCGATCTTCTCCTTCTCATGACATGGGGGACAAATTTAGACTCTCTCCTTCTGATGTCGACAGTCAGTTCTCTTCGTCAGTTAGTTTCTATTCAGGCATTTGCCCGTCTTTTTAGCGTAGTTGGCTAAACCGGATTGCGCGGTGAGCGGGTGACGAACTCCTTTTGTCCGGGTTCACTCCCGGGGGTAGGCAGAAAAGCCTAATTTCTCTCAGATTTACGGTATTTTAAATGGAATCAAGGCCGAAAGGTTGCGATATCCATAATACCGAGCCTAAGGGTTAACAACTCATTGATTCTGGATACTAAAACAAACTATTCAGGCATTTTGTGAGTTTCGTTTTATCCAGGCATTTCGTGAGTTAGTTTCTATCCAGGCACTATGTGAGTTTCCTTTCTAACAAGGCATTATGTGAGTTTCGTTTCTATCCCGGCATTTCGTGAGTTAGTTTCTATCTAGGCATTTCGTGAGTTTCTATTCAGGCATTATGTGAGTTTCGTTTCTATCCAGGCATTATGTGAGTTTCGTTTCTATCCCGGCATTTCGTGAGTTTCTATCTAGGCATTTCGTGAGTTTCTATTCAGGCATTATGTGAGTTTCGTTTCTATCCACGCATTTCGTGAGTTAGTTTCTATTCAGGCATTTCGTGAGTTAGTTTATATCCAGGCATTTCGTGAATTAGTTTCTATCCAGGCATTTCGTGAGTTAGTTTCTATTCAGGCATTTCGTGAGTTAGTTTCTATCCCGGCATTTCGTGAGTTAGTTTCTATCCCGGCATTTCGTGAGTTAGTTTCTATTCAGGCATTTCGTGAGTTAGTTTCTATTCAGGCATTTCGTGAGTTAGTTTCTATCCAGGCATTTCGTGAGTTAGTTTCTATCCAGGCATTTCGTGAGTTAGTTTCTATCCAGGCATTTCGTGAGTTAGTTTCTCTTTACTCTTTTACCTATCCATGTTATTCTCATAGTTCGTATTTAAAACCCCATCTCTGCCGCTTCCACTCTGCTGTTTCACTAATCGACCAACTATCCATGAATCAATATGTATGCCTGAATCTACTTGTATGAAATACTCGAATGTAGGTCTGGAACAATGGGTGTTGTCACAAGTTTATTGTCAGAACGTTGAAAGACATTCAAGGGACTGACAATCCATCGCCACCCTCGTTACTCTCATTGCACGTCTTACGTAATCGTACTTTATGTGGATCATGTGCACTTCAAGTCAGAAATCTGATTTACTGAATAACGTTCTGACTGAAAGCGATTCAACGTCTCTTGATCTGTTATGGATAGTTCCCAAGTTAAACTTGCTGAGTCTTCGATCTGTCGTGTAGATCGTATCCTTTTCAATAGACGACACCTCGGCCACACATCACGTTTGATGCGTCTCTAACATGCCTTCTGTTCCCAACCTCACCGACACGTTACAGTCCGACTTCTTCTTTAATATTGTTCAGAAGGCACGGTTGGCACGTTTTGTTGTGATTTACAGCTGTGCCATGATATTTACGCTTTTCGACCCAGCACAGCGATTTAACCTAATATGCGCCTTGCACACACATTCACAGTGAGAAAGTATAAGCTGTAGTGGATCTATTCTTCATCTTTCCCCAAAGCAAGGCCTTGGAATATATAAGAGGACATATGGCCTATGCCTCTTTTTTCCTCTTCTTCTCTTTATCTTCCAATGACTACAGTAATCACCAGTCGCCTATCCTTTGCTATTGCATGCAGCTCACGTATACCCTCTCCCCTCCCCCTTTATTTAAATTCGCTCTCTAGCTCGTTTCTCCATGTGTTTTTGGTCTGTCTTTATTTCTACTCCCAGCTGGTTCCATTGGAAGGACATTCTAGTTATACTGAGACCTATGTCCCTGTGGTGTGGTCCTGAAAAAATTCTATAATTATTTTTGTTAACAGGCTCAACAAATATTCTTCTTCTTCTTCGTGTTCGCTAGCTGTAAACTCTGGTGGAAAGTTTTAGTTGTTCATCCACTTTTGGACTGCAGTCCTGTTCCAGAACCTTAATGTTGCTTGTGCATCCGTTTTACAGATCTGACTTATTTGTATGCAGACTGCTGGTTCCTTGCCAGTCAGGCAGATGCACTCAGACTTAGATGGAAGCTTCCAATTAGTCGACTCTTAAGACATGCTTTTGGGTAGGCTGTGGGACTATTCTTGTTTTCCCTATAATATTGCCCCAGAACCAACACGGGACTCAACAAATATATTATTTAATGTTTGGTACTCACCTCGACAAACACCGACGAATTCTCCAGTGGAAGGTCAAAGGCGGTGGCGTTTCTGTCAATTAAACTGTAGTAATAAACCTGGGGGTCTGCAGGCGTGGTCGACAACGTATCCTTCATAGTGAGAAAACTGGTCATGTTGGAATTGTTATGCCCCAAATAACAACACTACCCACTGTAAATAACCAACATTACGGTAAAGGAGTGTTAGTATCCTCTGTAAGTAACAACTATTGTAGTTCACATATTAATAATAATACTATGGCTACCAAGGCTATGTTGAAACACAGCAGGTTAACAAATTACAGTTTACCGTAATTCACTCACTGTGCTGAACTTCTTCGGACTCAGACTTGAGTTAAAAGAAGAACGGAACACTTATTGGTTACTACACGTGAGCCATGATGTTGATCCGTTGTTCAAACCTCAAACCTCATTTCCAGTTCTTGACTTCCTTGTCATAACAGGTGGTTACAGTTATCGACAGAATGGTATAGCAAATAAGTTCCACCAGGATACTACACAACGAAGAAAATAATGTTTGTCTGTGCTGATTTGTGTATACTTTAATGGTTCCTGAGTGAACGCACATTATATCAGAACACACGTTTCTAAACAGCCTATAGTTCTTATATGAGCGCAACACAATATGAAGAAAGGTGGGAAATTAAACCACCCAAATATTTGCACAAGTCTTTATCAGCGAAAAAAGCAATGGAATCATAAACAAGATTTTTAGCTATTATTCCCACAACAGTCATCTCTATTTTCGGTAATTTAAAAAAAAAATAGTTCTCAAACTAACTGATAAATTGCAAAGAATATTGGAGCACCATAAACATCCATGATACCAAGAATACAAGCACTATATAACTACACTGCAGTAATTTATTCTTTTACTTTGAATTGTTATATAATTCAGTTATCACGCTTGCATAATGGTATTTTTCTTTTGTCAACAAAGAAATGAAAAGCAAACACAGTAATGGGATGTTCATTTATACTGGTGGCTGTAAATATATAAAAATCTGGCAATGGTGTACACAGCTGGTTTCTCTACGTAAACATTTCAGTCAAAACCATCTGGTTTGAAGCCGCTCTTAAGTGTCGACAAACATGCCTTGGTCCTGTGGTCGAAAATTAACAAATGCCGCGTTATCGTGTTATAAAATTCGGTTAAGTAATTATGGGAAGCTATAGAGATAAGTATGTTTGTTGAAGATAATTTATTTTATAGATCGTAGAATCGCGTAAGGCTGATTGGGGCGAGTTTAGAGGTATGATGGTAGAAGACGGTATGATTAGATCTGATGAATGAATATACGACAAGAAATGAGGTATGAGACAGCACTGTCACTTTATCTCTTTATACAAAATATTTTTATTACTACTACTGATTCTGCTGCTACTAATGCTGCTGCTACTGCTGCTAAAAATGCTGCTGCTACTGTTACAACTACTGCTGTTACTGCTGCTGTTTCTACACTGTACTAATGGTACTATTACTGTTGCTGCTGCTACCGCTTCTATTAAACTTACTACTATTGCTAGTTCCTTCACTTTTGCTACTACATTTACCACTAGTAATAGGACTACTGCTGCTACTTCCTCTTCTTTTTAACAAAGAAGACAGACAGATTGACAGACAAGGG